GGGGACACAAAAGATATGACAGTCTATTTTATCAAATGAAATGCAAAACATTTAAAGGGTTTAGCTTCGGGGTGTTTGCCTCATTCAACTGGTACCCTCCCCTTCTCCTGCCTTTCCCACCTGTCGGGTCTGAGCTTACAAAGGAAAGAAACCTCTAAACTGAATGCAAACTGCCTGCTTTTACCGCCATGTGGGGCCCGCCCGCCACGCACGGGCGAGGCAGCGCCAGCTGGGAGCATGCGGAGTCCCAGAAAAGCGCTACCAGGGGCTCGAAAGGGAAGCAGAGAGCAAACCACGTGCCTGTTTCTCACTTCCGCTCAGGAGTGTGGCTATTTTAGTACCACAGGCTTAAAAATACTTGTGAAATAATTAAGCTTCTATATAGAGTAGACTAAAATTTATTTCAAATTTACTTGTCAAATAACTCTATTACTGAACCTACAAGACTAAATCCTTTGCCATTACTTGTCATGTTCTAATGAAGAAGTCTATAAAAGTCCAATTTATGGCCAAGCATCAATTAGTTCTAGAAAATGATTACAGTGAAGTTTAATTAACCTCCAAGGTTTACACGAATGCGACTACAGTGCTGTGTTTGAGGTATACAGTCCATCATGGCCTCTTCACCCTCGTGAAGTCAGGGCAACGTCGGGGTCTCTGATCCCACATTCCAGCCACTGGAGGACACTCCTGCCAGGTGCAGGCCCCTTCCTGGCCGAGCGAATGTCTTCTCAGAGGAGCTCCAAGTTCAAGCCACACGTTTGGGATCACAGGCCTAGGTAGAAATTAAACCCACAGAGCAACCAGTAAACCTAACACAAAGTGTCCAAGAGTTACCTAGGGCTGGTCTGAGAAAACCCAGGCCGCTGTTTCAGCCTCATCTTGGTACTGGGGGTGGATCTGGGGCCCTGTGCCTCTTCATTCCCGCATTTAGCCCAGTTTTGTTGAATCGGAACTGCGGACGGTCCTCAGCGTTCAAGGGTGCTTAGGGGTAAACAGCATTCCCAATGATGTCATCTCTTGTTAGTTAAATGAAGCGTCACGATGACGAGAGACAAGAAGTGAACAGCTTAGAGAATGACTGAGTCCCCCAGCTCATCTTCTGTCAGGTAACCCCGGCAGTGTTTACACCCTGGGTCACTCCGCTGTAGCACTGCACCGTGGTGACGGTTCGCTGGACCTGCTCTGTAAGGCCTTTCTCAGCAAACCTTGCTAGTCCTCACTTTAATGACATATGAGCAGCCTGGGTCACAGCAAAGCCTCAGATGCACTAGGGCAGCTACTCAAGGAGGCCACGCCCTGGAGGCCCCAGGCCGGGGGACACATCCTCCTTTCTGTAAAATAACCACGTGGCCGTGACAGTGGGGGCTGTATAGGGAGAGGAGGCCACCACTGCCTGACTCTTTCTTCCCTCCGCCCTCTCCGCCCTCCTCCTGGGTCCAGCAAGTGTCTGGTGGCCCCTGGACCCTCAGCTCTGCCACACAGCCATTGCCACCACGCCTCCTCCTCCCTCCAGCCCTTCTCATTTCTTCTTCCAGCGAACAGCTGATGGGCCTGTGGGGAATACCAAGTCCCACCTCAGGGAAGAGAAGCCTGCAGCCTGGCCAAGCAGACAAGAAACCAGACCAGTGGGGCAGAGAGGAGCTCTGCAGGAAGGCAAGGCAGCCTGTGGGCACCTCCTGGCAGCAATGACAGAGACACAGGATGTGCCCATCTCCCAGCCCCCGACTGGTCCTCTGCAAAGACAGGGAAGATGCTGTCTGGCGTCTAGAGTCACCCAAGCCTGGATTCAGACCCGAGTCTGTCACTCAGCTGCGTGACCGCAAGAGATAATCTCACTCCACCTCACGTATCATCCCCAGCAACATCAGAGCGTTAACAAAAGACGCCTCCTTGCAGAACCATTCTAGAAGTACTCCACGTGTTGTGGGTGAGGGCTCAAGTCTCATCAGGAATTCCAGGCCAAGAGCAGACAATCTGCCCTGTTTCCCCAGTGAGAGGGAAGGAACAGACACCAAGGCCACAGAGAGCCCACGGGAACACAAGGTCTACCATTAGGGCACACTGCTTTTGTCCTCTCGAGGCTCTGCGATTTCAGAGATTTCAGCGGTGAACAGATCAAAGTGTGGGCCTCAGGCCACAGGTATGTCAAATTCCATCACATCGGTCAAACGATTTTCAGGAACACAGCAGAGTTTTGTTTCACAAAGTGCTCAGAAGTGACAGGCCTAAGCCAATCCATAGAAACACTAGGATGACATCTGCCTACACCAAATAGGAGACCTTTTGTTTGATAAGCCACCTTCTTATAAAGAAAAACATTTATTTTCCAAAATCTGAAACAGCCAGCAGAGAGCTAAAGAAAGTTCAATTCAAATCTGTTAGGAAAATGAAGGTGCCCTTAAGCTGTGAGTAGAGAGCCCCGAGGAGCCAGGGAGGACGCCCACCCAGTGCAGGCCACCTGCTGCCCTTACTGCCCCTTCCAGGTGGGAGGCTACGGGAGGAGGGGCAGAGATGCTGTGGGAGCTTGGGCTCAGCCCACTAGCGGCATCTTAGGCTGGGGGCAGAGCTGCACCATGACCCCCTCTTTCTAGAAGTTATGCTGCTGCAGAGACTGGGAGGGGGATGGATGCGGGGAGCTGGCTGGACACTCTATTTTGAGGCAAGAACAGGAAGAGGCCCTTGTGGGCCCAATCCAAGGTCTGCATGACCCAAAGGAATGGGCAGGATGACCCAATTCACAGGTGACTGGTCAGGACCAAAGTGGTGACAATGGGAATGACTGTGGGAGGAGCAGACAACTGCACTGCTGCGGAGAGGGCATCCTGTGCCCTGTGGGTCAGCCCGGTGCCAAGCAGAGGGTGAGAGCCCTTCCCCACATTCCAGGAGGAATCTGCTGAAATTAGGCACAAAGAGTCCTGCAGACAAGCACGTAGGCGGCAAAGGGTCTGAGTTAACAGGCTCCTTTACTGAGGAATTCTGCAATTTTAAGGTTCTCATCTGTGTCCTGCACCCATGAGGTGGAGTTCCTGTGCCCCACTCCCCATCTCCCTTGGCCAAGGGCTCTTTCTTGCAGTGTCTTGCAGGGTTGGTGTCCCTTAGAGCAGGGATCCTCCAACTTTGGGGCTTGTGCTGCCAGGATACTGGGCCCTACCCCCCGAGTTTCTGACCCAGCAGGCCTGGGCTGGGGTGACATGAGACAAGCGTCTCTAACAGGTCCCGAGGTGACCCCCACTTTGAGAACGCCAGCCTCACAAAGAGCTGTGGGGACCCTGAGCAAGACAGTCCTCAGCACTGAGGGCTCTGCGCCCCTTCCCACCATGCCGCTGCCTCAGCCAGCCTCCCTGGCACAGTCCGGCTCTCGGGACCCTCTGCCTCGGCTGCAGCCCGTCCGGTCGGGCCACAGCTGGCTCTCACTTTCAGCCACATCCCCTTTCAGCCTCAGGCCCTGGCTGTTCTTCCTGCCTCGACTGGGAGGAAGGCCAGCCCTTTTAAAGTAACCTTTCTCAGTTAATCACGCCATTAGGTACGGACTGCACTGTTTCACTCTCAAAAATAACCTTCCTTCCAAGTTCCGGGGGCAATTTCCAAGGCTCCCTCCGTGCTGGTTCAAAGACGGAATAGTTTCCAATATTTGAATCTGGTTTACAATTTTTATACTTCAGATACTAAACTGAAAACAATCAAAACCAAATGCACAAATAAGGCCAAGTCTTGCCTGGACCACCTGCATTTTAATGTGCATATCTACGTTTCTGCCACCAAATAACAACTGAAAAGTTCTCTGTATCACTGAATTGCTTTGTTTCTCTGAAAGCAAAGTCTACGAAAAACCCAAAAACCCACTAGAGAGTTTTCTGTCCATCTCTTCCACTCTCTGACCTCAGTTCTGGCCAGTGTGGAACACTAGGGACTTAAGAAAACATTAGACCAAGGAAAACAAACCCAGCAGAATCGAAAGCCCAATACTCTAATATAATCGTTTACAATTAGATAAAAAAAGCCCCATTTAGACTCGAAGAAAAGTTTCTTTGTAAATCTGTCTAGATATAAGAAAAATACAACAAAGTTGGATAAAAGACATAAAAACAAAGGTGCAGGAAGAAAGAGTAGCAATTTGTTACCACTCTTGCCCACTGAAACATGTAATTAGAGGTTAGCACAACCCTAGCAACAGAGACCTGCCAAACCTCACTCTTGCGGGAGAGCAGCTCCTACTTCAGGGATTTAAAGACCATTTTAAAGGACCCACCGTGTGGGATGCTGCCAATGCCCGTGCCCACTGCAGCTCTACCCTTTGGAGCAGAGTAACTCAGCGACTGATTAACAGTGCGCAGCACCAGGAACGTGCTAAACAGCAGTAAAGTCTGGGAACGTTACCAGTAGTTTAGTGAACCACCGTTTTCTCACAGGCTGTGTGTCTGTCAACAAGGAAGCCACCAATGAAATGCTTTGTAAGACTTTTTCTGCTTGTACAGAGAAGTCTCTGCAGTGTTTGGGTTTCTAAGCGGTGGGCTCACTCTCAGCATTCATCCTGCGGTCAGCTTTCCAACCCAGAAGAGGAGGATGAAGATTTAAAGGGGAAAGGGTGGCTACGGGTGCGGGACAGGAACGGGGACCCCAGACACTGAAACGAAGTCCCTGGGAATGGGGTGTGAATGTGCGAATGCGTGTCCGGAAGCAGCTAAGGTAGGAGCCCGGCAGGTTAATGAAGCACTCGGGGGCTCAAAACGCGCTGTTTTGAGCGCTGGGAGGCAGCGGGGGAGCTTCGCTGTACCCAACTGTGGAGTGGGCTGCGGAGAGGGACTCTTTCGTTCTGACTTGAGACAGTCCACCTTGCCACATCGAACGCGAATCACCTGGGGACACACGGGGAGCCTCTGGCTCAGCCCCTCCCCAGGAAAAGCCGGCGTTGGCCCGAGCGGCTCCTCGGGGGGCAGAGGCGGGACGGAGAGGGAAGGGACACGCGGCCGGGAGGGGCAGCGGGACCCGCGCCTCACCTCGCACGTCCGCGGCCAGGGCCCGCCAGGTGGGTGCGTAGCCGATGCAGTGGCCGCACCACGACGAGTAGAACTGCACGAGCCACGCGGCCGAGCTGTTGGCCGTGGCCCCGCGCACGCTGCCGCTGTCCAGCACCCACACGGCGTCCTCGCCCGCGCGGTACAGCCGCGCCGCGCCGCCGCCGCCCGGCCCCGCCGCCGCCGCCGCCAGCAGCACGAGCAG